CTGAGGTAATATTGGTGGGTAGTTCAAATGATATTTTTGACCAGTCCCACTGGTTATTTACCCAGACCTGATCAAGAGTCAGGTTGCTCTCATTTTTTGTTAGAGGACCATGAATGATTGATCGGATGTTCGTTTTGTTTGGGGCCCAACAGCCGTAGTAGAAGTTTATGGATTTTCCATTTCCAATATCCCAAGCAAGTACCTTGCTGATGGTTTCCCACCCTTTCATTACATTTTGCCAAATGAAGGAGGTGGCCTTGATATTGGTCCTGTTACAGTTGTTTTGGATTAGAGTATCTGCCCACAGTGTGGATGGGTTGGTGAATAGTCTCCAAGCCAGACCTGCTAGGATGGCTTGGTTTTTATGCCATGCTTTTGGTATCCCTAGGCCACCTAGCTCCTTTGGAAGGGTTACAACATCCCACGAAATGTAATGGATCTTTCTTTTAGTAGCGGTTGTTCCCCAAATAAAATCCCGCTAGATTTTGTCAATTTGGTGAAGGGTTTTCTTTGGGAGGGATATGCATTGCATGTTGTGGTTAGGGATAGCATTGAGGGCTGCTTTTGCAAGGGTTGCTCGTCCTGCAAGTGTCAGAAAGTTTATTTTCCAGCTAGAGAGCTTATTTCTCAAGTTGTCAATTACAAATTGAAAATCTAATGGTTTGGGCCTATTATTGATAATTGGGAAGCCCAAATATTTTCCAAACTGGGTGGTCTATTTAATGTTTAAAAGGCTGATTGTGTAGTCTTTTAGGGTAGTGAAGCAATTTCTATAGAATAAAATTTTTGATTTATTGTTATTGATTTTGTGGCCTGAGAGGGAGCAAAAGATTGTTAGAGAATGATGAATAGAATTGATTGTTTTCCTATTTGCTTGGGCCATGAATGTTAAGTCATCTGCGTAAAAGATATGTGATACTAGGGGTCCTTTTGGTCCAATTTTGATTGGGTTTCATAGGAAAATATCGACTAGGTAATGTATGTAAACTGATAGCAATTCCATGGTAAGGATGAACAGATAGGGGGATAGTGGGTCCCCTTGTCTGATCCCTTTCGATGGTTCAAAGTAATTTGTTTGGCCCCCATTGACTAAGACATCTATTTGAATAGTGGTTATGCAGTTCATGATAAAGGATGTGATTTTTGGTGGGAATTTAAAGAAAATGAGGGCCTTGTACACAAAAGACCATTCTAACCTATCAAAAGCTTTTACAAGGTCTATTTTAATAATTAATTGACCATTTCTCCCTTTTTTTTGAATTGGTTGATCACTTCTTATATAATAATTCCATTATCACAAGCCCTCCTACCTTTTAAGAAACTTTCTTGACAAGGACTGATTAGTTCAGGAAGAAAATGCTTGATCCTGTTGACAATTATTTTGGTGATTATTTTGTAAGTGGTGTTGCAAAGGCCTATTGGTCTGAAACTATTGAGATTGTTTGCATGTTTATTTTTTGGGAATGAGGCAGAGGAGAGTTTGATTTATTTCCCTAGGGATTCTCGATAGGGAGAAAGCTTCTTTGCATAGTCGTATGACAAAAGGACCCACAATATTCCAGTGACATTGATAGAATATTGGATGCATGCCATCCGGGCCCAGGGCCTTGTATGGCTTGAAGGAGTATACTGCAGAAATGATTTCGTGAGTGGTTAGAGGTCTATCTAAGGATGAGAGATTTATATTGGAGAAACTTTTGTGGGCACTATTGATAGTATTCCATTCCGACAGTATATGGTTGGTGGTGAATATGTCTTTGAAGTAGAGGTGTGTGTGTTCAATGATTTTTTGGCGATCCATAATCCAGTTATCTGAATTATCTTTGAGAAAGGAGATACTGTTACGCCTTCGCCTGTTAAGGATAGATATGTGAAAAAAGTTTGTATTTGCGTCCCCCTCATTGAGCCAGTTTATTCGAGATCTAATTTTCCAATGGTCTTCCTCTAGCCGGGGGATATTGTTATACTCAATAATAAGAGTATGTTCTAAGTTTCTAAGGTAGGTGCTAAAGGTGTAGCTAGGTGAGTTTTGGATACCCTTAATTCTAGCAAGTAACCTCTTCTTATTAGCAAAGATATTACCAAAATTTTGGGCACTCCATTCACTAACATTATCTTTGAAGCAAGCTTGGGCATCATTAAGGTTTCTATTATTCCAACTTTTTTCAACAATTTTACTAAACTCCGGGTGGCTTAGCCAATATTTTTCTAATCTAAAAGGGTTTTTAGTAAATGTCCTAGTGTTTGTAAGTCTAAGTAGTAAAGGGTTATGATCTAAGTATGTTTTTGAGAGATGAGTAACTAGCATTGAAGGGTATTGTTCTAGCCAGGACTCATTTACAAGGCATCGATCTAGTCTTTCTAGTATGAGACCTTGCCTCCTATGGTTGAACCATGTGTATCTAGTGCCTTTAAAACCTAAATCAATTAAGTTACAGTGGTTGACACAAGACCTAAAATTTGAAGATCTATTTTTGTTAACACTTCTGCCTCCCCATTTCTCATTTTGATTTAGTGCATCGTTGAAATCACCACCCATCAGCCAGGGTCCTTTATAATTTGCAAAAATATTTTTAAGGTTATTCCATAAGTCTAATATATTTACCAAGGAGTTGCTAGCATAAATAAACTAAAAAGCCAAGGATTATGATTTGGCAATACCTGGACTAGTGCATGAAGCTCCTGATCAGGTTGCCTAACTCTCTCCACAGCTACCAACGTGTCAACCCACATGATCACCATTCCTCCAGCTCGGCCTACAGCTGGATTTTCTATATAATCAGAGAAGTTGAAATCTGCCCCAAGGCTTGCATGGTTGTCCATTTTTGTCTCCAGTAGTGCCACCATGCATGGATTGTGATTGTTGACAAGTTCCCTAAAGTTGCGTCTGAAGTCTGCATTGTTTGCACCCCTTACATTCCAAATGATTATGCTAGTAGGTGTATTCATGAGAGGAGAGTGATTTTGGAGGGTAGGGATATAATTATTTCCCTTCGTGAGGGGACTGCCCCTCAGTGTTGGATTCAGTAGCACTGCATATTTTGTTGTCATGGTGTTGATTGGTAGAGTTATCTCTATTGAGCACTTTTGGAGTGCCACTGGACAGCGTAGTATGTATTTCCTGTCGTCCCTCTCCGGAAAGATCATAAGGGCTATATCTCTTATTGTTGATTTTTCTGTGAAAGAGCTTCTTCCTAGAGGGGGAGGTATCACTATTTCTTCTGCCTCTAGAATTTTCTGGTCCACGTTTGGACCTTGTTCCATTAGAGGGGCCATATGAATGGGAGGTTGTGTTTGTTGTGGTGTCTAAGGGAAGAATAGAGGGTTCATCTCTGTTACCTCATGTGATGAGAAAAAAGGGAGGTCGAACATTTGGTTCATGTTCAGGAGGGGATTGAAGTGTTGTGGGAGATTTCAATGGTTGTGCATTGTGTGATAAAGGGCAGGGGCTACTGTTGGGGCTAGAGGGTCGAGAATGTTTGCCATCCACAAATAATTTATGTAATTGTCCATGGCCATTCTCATCCCCTCCGCCATTACTTGTGCTAAGAAGTTTGGGTTTTGTATGATTGTCATGACTTCGTGCCCCTCTATCACGCTTTTCCTTTCTTTTACTGTTGGAGTTTTTTTGTTTTCCTTTTATAAAACAACTTTTGATGGTTTATTTTGCACTTTCGACGATGGCAGTTCTATCCATCATTATAAACAATTAATCGTGCCTAGATATCCATGATTTGGTAAAAGAAAAAGTGGTTTTAGGGGGTAGTTGGGTGACAAATTTATTTGATATATCACCTGCTAGTTCTTGTCTTCTCGACAAATAGGTACCACCGAATTTTCGTCTTACATATTTTGAATATTTTAGTCAATTGATTTTGTCTTGTTTTAATAAGGGTACCACCTTTTCGTTTCACCAAAAAACTGTAATTTTGTTGTGATTCATAGGACTTATATATTAAATATTTTTTTTCTAAAAATCTTGTAAACGTCCATAATTTATGCAATCTTTTTCTTTAAAATACATTATTTTTTCGTGATCTATCACCTTAATCTAGGGCTGTGCATAATTTAGTAAATACCGAATTACCGCACCGAAATCGAAAATTTTGATAGTTGGTATTCGATATTTTGGTATTCGGTATTTGGTTTTATTTTTAAAAATATTTGATATTAGGTATGATATTTGGTATTTTAAAATAAAATACCGAAATACCGATACCATACCGAAATAGATATTATATTGCACAATACACATATTATTAATTATAACATAAATATAAAAAATCTAAAATTTTACTTTTCTTTATGCTCTAAATTCATCAATTAACTCTAAGTAAGTAACAAGATATTTTTAATGATCAAATTTATTCCTTTATGCACAGTTTTCTCTCTCTGAGTTGATATTTGCTGGTTTTGGACAAAACTTTTATCAACAAACATTTTTTGTTTTGTACTTCTGAGTACTTTAATTAAGAATATTGACTCTATACACTAGTTGGCATTCAAATTGAATAAACCGAAAGGAGAAAAATCGAACCATACCGGGTTTAATTAGGTATGGTATTGGTATAACATTTTAAGAAACCGAATACTAAAAATACCGAACCGAAATATCTAATTACCGTACCGTACCGACTGATGAACACCCCTACCTTGATCAAATTTAGACGAATTGCTCGAGTCAATTTTGCAAAAAAAAAAAAAGCCCTAATCATTTACAATTTCAATTTCGACGGTTTTACTTTTTTAAACATCACTACTCAACTTACCTACAATTATCCAACTAACTCCCTATCTTACCTTTAAAGTTTCCAATAATAACTGTGCAAACATAAACTTAAAATATTTAAATTGGGATGAAAGAAGTTATATTTGTAACTCTTGGGGGGAGGGGATGGGTTGAATAACGTAAAGTTTTTGGAGGAGAGAGCAAATATACGAGTTGAGTTGACATTCATAAATCACTGATAATATCCAACTAACACTGTTGTCGTTCAACAAAGCCAATCATGCACCGCAAAAGCACTTACCCCAACGCTCACTTACCGCGCGCGTTACCCCACGCTCCTCTTACTTCACTTTGCTTCCCATTTTTCCCCTACTCTTCTTTTCACTTCAGTTGTCGCTGTTGCCAAAAGGATTTTTTCCACTCATTTCAAGTTTTCTCGGACCCAGTAATCGACGTTCCGATTCTATTTCCAGAAAAAGAAAATTAAATTTTATAACACAAAAAGAAGAGCAAAAATTAGGAATCCGAATCTTGCCCATCGAATCCTAATTCACTCAACAGAAGGATCAGATTTGATTACCACTTTCTCACTTTCAGGCGAGTTAATTCAATTTCTTAATCACGTATTATCCATCTTATTTAGTTTCTATGTGTTTATTGTGTGATTTAATAGTATCTTTTAGCTGGGTGATTGGTTTTTAAATTTTTATTTCCTCTATTTGTTGTTTTTCTTATTTCTTTTTCAGCATCTATTGTAGTCGTAGAAAATACCAACCACTATCAGTATCACTACTTCAAATATTGGCATTTGCTCTCAACTGTTTGACCATTTAACTGTTTGTTGTGCAAAGAGGACAGGAATAAAGTGAAAACTCTTTAGCCTAAAACCAATCTGAAAACCTGAAATCTACTTATAATAATAAAATATTTGTATATTGTGAAGTAGGAATTTTGGTGGTAGTCTAAAGGTTGAAGCTTTATTTGGTTTTGTTTTAGAATCTGGGTTTGTTTACTATTGAGTGTTTTCAATTTTCTTGTTTTAGTGCTCTGAATTACACTAATAAAAAGTAGTATTCAATTTGGGGTACCTGTTGATTTCTTCGAATGCAGCTGAACGTTTGAGAAGTGATTTGGCGTAGAACTAATCTGTGAAACTGATTGGATCAATGTGTGAATTGTACAATCTTGGATGACCTAATCTGTAATGCAATCTACAAATTCAAGTAATAAGAAGTGTTTGAAACGTTCACGATCATTTCCAAACGAAATGCCAGCGACTGATACAAATGTTTCAAAGCCTCTAGAGGATTGCATCCTGTTTCCTGTTGAAGAAATAGTGCAATACCCATTGCCTGGTTATGGTTCACCAACTTGTATAAGTTTTAGTCCGGATGATAGTCTAGTTACATATTTGCATAGTCCAAACCAAACTCTATACAGAAAGGTTTTTGTGTTAGATCTCAAGAGTGGTAAGCAAGATTTGTTCTTCAGTCCACCAGATGGTGGGCTCGATGAGAATAACTTATCTGCAGAAGAGAAGCTTAGAAGGGAAAGGTCAAGGGAGCGTGGTTTAGGGGTAACACGATATGAATGGATTAAGGCAAGCGCTAAACGAAAGGTCATTATGGTGCCGTTGCCTGCGGGGGTACGTTCTCTCTTCTCATATAATTTTTGGTGGTCACTCTCTATTTAATTTGATCCCTACGTTGCACTGAACGGGAGCTTTTCCTGAATTATTTGTTGATACAATTGGTAGTCAAAGAAGAAAAAAAGCTGTTCTCTGCTTGTTATAAAATTCTCTCATTTTCTGTGGATCTTTCCAGCACCTTACAACACTGTGATATTCTGCACGGAGCCAACTCCCTGATTCTCTTTTTTCAAGGAATAACTGCTGTACATGCATGACCTCATTTTAACGTGCATTATACTGGACTTTGGATGACATTGACCGCGATTAGATGGCCTATGAGCAATACTTTTCACACAGAGAGAGAGCCACCAAATATTTTTACCTGTTGGTTTGTTTATCCATGCAATGTCGCGACAACTGGTATGCATGATGCATCTTTAGTAATCACATCTTGGTCTCACAAAGAATGCCAAGAAAAAAACAGCAAATATTCATAGTAGAATATTTTTTTACTCCCTCCGGTCCAAATAAGTGATTTTTTAGCTGTTTTCACACAGATTAAGAAATTCACCTTTTAACATTAATTAGCAATGAAATTAACCATATTAACCTTTACTATCTCTTCACATAAACACTCCTAACACATACTCCAACATTATTTACTCCAAGAGCAATGTAGGAAAAAAATTATTAATTCATTCTTGAAATCTGAAAAAATCACTTATTTTGGACCACAAAAAAGGCCAAAAAATCACTTATTTTGGACCGGAGGGAGTAATAAACTCATTAATTCCTTGTACTCATCATTAGACCTTTTACTTAATAAAAGAAGTGTATTGCTTTAAAAAGTCATAGAAAACCTTATTTTGTTGTGCAGCACATGAAGTTGTAAAAGATCAGAACTATCTTTTCTGAACTAGTGGCAATTTTCTCTTTCTCTACAAGTTTACTTAATATAGTCCTTTTCGCATTTGTAGTCATTAATTTGAGTTTTGATTAACACATTTTTATTCTGTGTTCCATCTACGAAAGTATTCCTTGGGACTGCTTAAGAAAATGTGATATGGAGTAATAATTTCTTTTCATGTGAAATTATGTTGTTTACCTGAAATCCTGCATAAATCTGTATCATATTGTATCTTTGTGGAGCCAAACAATCTGAAATCTTTGAACTTTTTTCTCCAATGATCAGATCTAATCAGAGCTTACTTTATGTGTAAAACAGTTATACTTAAAGGATCAGAATGCAGAGCCAGAACTTGAGCTAGCAAGTACATCCTCCTCACCGGTCTTGGATCCGCATATTTCACCTGATGGTACCAGGCTTGCCTATGTGAGAGATAATGAGTTGCATGTGTTAAACCTTCTGTACCATGAATCTAAGCAGTTAACAACAGGTGCCGATGGCAATGTTATAGTAAGGACTTGTTCCAAATGCTTATTACTGAATTATCTGTCTTTATCTTTTGATATGAGTGCTCTACAAATTTAACTGCTCTTCACATGTAACATGCATCATCTGACAGTTTTTGTGCTAATTTATGCCTTGTTCATCCTCTTCCTTTGTCATTTTATTATTTGGTAGCTCAAGTAGAAACTTTATGCAGTTATTCTTTTGTTTGGTCCATCTTGTTGACCTCGATGCTTGGCAGCCACATATTGCTCCCTCAGTAACTAGTTCTTGGGGCACAACAATGAATTTTATTAAAATCTTCACTAACTTTTAAAAATTCAAAGTGGAACATACTGAGTTTCAACAACAACAACAACCCAGTGTAATCCTACAAGTGGGGTCTGGGGAGGGTAATATGTACGCAGACCTTACCTCTACCCCGAGGGGCAGAGAGGCTGTTTCCAGGAGACCCTCCGCTCAAAGAGGCAACAAGAGACACTATATTAGTACTATCAATAGACTCATAATAAAACAACATAAAGTACCATAAAATCCATAACATAACATAAATACCATAAAAAACAAAGTAACAACAATATAAGAGATACAGGAAATACGAGAAAGATGTAAGGTATTAATACACAGAAGATAAAGCCTATCATCAGTAGTTGATCAATAGCATCCTAAGACTAATTCCTAACTGGCTAGTCTCACTCTAGT